GCTCGCGGTGGATGCGTATGTATATATAATAGGAACATACCCACACAGCAGATGTCCAAAATATATCATACACGGAAAAAAGAGATGTGGTGCATCTAACAAAAATTATTTAATTGTAAGCAAATAGCTGCAGCATTCTACATATCTTTGTATGATAGTTATGTGTATGTTGATTTGACTTACTTACTTTGGTGTGTCAACTACATCAATGAAGTTGCGCGTGATCTGATTGTGGCAACCAGAAATTAGTAAGGGGATCATTTTGCATAGACAAGCTAAATATCGATATAGTTGCATTAATCAGGAATGCTATATTCACTGAGAGAAAATACTGGTAACTATAACAAACTGCATTTAGTTACACAAATTCGTTGAATTCTTAGTAACTAATACCAAATATGATAATAATTACCAAATATTTAATATATCGAGAGTATGACGTAATTGCATTCACAATAACATTAATTAAATAATTTAGTAATAGTTACTTAGTGTTAAATATTTAATATGAAATATATTATAGTTATGAACAGATATTTGATAATTGTTATGAAATTGTTATATCCCATGTAATAAAAGATTCAATAGATACGAGTTCTATTTTGTTACCAGTGTAAGTATGTTTTGTTGCAGCACAACAAAAAATTCATTCATTTGCAGCTATTACATCGTTTCAATATCTATTATTACAGATGGTTGGTTGAACCTACCAAAAATTTGGTAATTATTACAAAATCGCTTATTTTGCTCAACTATTCAATAAGTTTTATTTACCAAATATATTCTGGAAGCAAATAAATTTTACTTCTGTCAAATAAATAATTTATTTTACAGAACTAAATTAATTAATAAGTATTGCCATAGCTTTGGCCCGCTATATTTACGTCTACCATTTAATAATAGTAACTAAATTTTGATAATATTTACTAAATTCTTCTCTCAATGTTGCAAAGCAGCGATGTTAGAAAACAAAAGCAATTCACTACGCGCACAGCTAGAGCATGTATACATGTGAAAACTGGTTCTGAGTGTATAAATATACATTTGTAGTTGCCTTGTAATGAGCCGCGTTTGTATTAACCATGTATTATCACTGTTGCAACATAAATAACTCAGCCATTGCTCTTTGGTTACAGCAACCACATAAATAGTTGTTCCGTATTTTACTATTGAATCTGGTTAGCACAACCCGATTTCTGTGTGAATCAACCATATTGTTTTTTCCATGTAAGGATATCCTAAAGATATATTTGGGATATATGATATCTTTAAGATATCCTTATGATATATTTGGGACATTCCTGCTGTGGGTGCTGCCCGGGCAAGCGCGCGTGCAGGCGAACAGTGTGTGTGTGTGTGTGTGTGTGTGTGTGTGTGTGTGCGCGCGTGTATGTGTAGCAGGCACTTTCCTAGCCTATAAATTCGATGTTTTAGTATATACGATGTCCAAAAATTATATTCATTTTATGCAACTTCTTTTGTTAATAATTTTTTAACGGACAACGACCGACGGCTAAAATCTTCAGAAGGTTACTCAGGAGGGTGACCTCTATAATATATGTGAAGGTCAAGGTCATTGGAGGTGGGTCCCTTAAACCCCACTATTACCGACAAGGAGACAAGTAAGTTCAAAGGTTCACTTGGTTCAAAGGTCGTCTAAGCTATATGCTTTTGTTTATGTATTTATTGAGAGAAGAACAGAGTGGAAATAAAATCGCAAAATATTCCTTTAAAACGTTCACTTCTTAAATTTATGCTAAATAAATAAATAAGAAACAAAATAATTTATGCTAAATAACTAAATAAATAAGAAACAAAAATCATCATCTGGCTATCAGAAATATGTCTTTTTTAAAAGGAAGACAGCTATAACAAACCTTAATTATTACAAAATAGTTATAAACTGTAAAATATTTCTTAAGGTGCATGACTATTTTATATGTGGCTTTCTTATTTTGACAAGCCAACTTACCCCGATACCAGCGCAAGATGGTGACATTATAGCACATTCGTATTTCGATTATTGCAGAAAACATACAATTTACAGGATCGTTGCTGGCATAAAAATATAGAAGTAGATTGTATCTATTATGTTTGTACAGTCACAATAATTAATTGTGTCCGAAAAGTAACTCCGAAATTCTACATCTTGTCCCAATCTTATTAATTGTCCCATTTTGCATGTAGCTTTTTTACTCTGAGTTGCAAACTAACTGGTTGTGATACCAGGAAGATAGCAACGTTGCAGCACGTTCGTAATTCGGTTATTGCAGAAAAAAATATACCGTTTACAGGACCGTTGCTGACATGAAAACATAAAGCAAGGTTATTTCTATCATGTTCGTACAGTCAATCATAACAATTAATTGTCTGAGAAGTGCCCTAATTTTGCCAAGCGTAGTATTTTATCCCGGTCTTCCCTAAAGAGTGTCGATACACGCGCGCATGTCGATATCTCGTGGTCCTCAGTCCTTATTCCTCCCTTATCTTATTTCTCCTGGTACCCCCCTTTGTACCTCTCTCCATATATTCTTCCTTCTAACGCTGTTTCCTAACATCTAATCGTCGCAAAGTTATCGTCCTGAGATCCACACTGTTTCAGGATCTTGCAGTATCGATAATTCGAAATACAGTGTTTCGACAAGAGGCATTTCCGGCGGCGGAGGCTGTGATACGGCACGCGTCTCGATTTTTACGCGGGCAACCTCGACCGCAATTCAGGGCGACGGTGGTATCCATGTTGGAACGCTATTTCCGCCCATCGTTCCGTGCGACGTCGTCGAGCAACGATCGGTGTTAACGCGCTTCCGGCTCAAACTCGTGATAAATGTCGTCGCTTCCTCCGGCGCGTCGAGCCGCGTTGCGCGAACGAGCGCATGAGTGAGCGAGCGAGCGAGCGAACGGCGACATTTCAAAGGGTACACTTCCCTGCAGCAAAAGGATGGACCGCCGCTGAAAGTGCGCGGATACGCCGTTGCGGAGTTATCCGTCGCATCCGTCACTTCTTGTTAGAGTGACGTTCGCGGGAGACGATCAAAGGCGACATTCCTCGCAGGCAAGAATCTGCGGAATTGCTTCCAGGACGCGCCGGCAAGCCGTGCGTGATGATTTGCCGAGGAAATTAGCGGGTCGTTGCCTACAGTGGCTTCTCTTGTCATCGGCGTCGCGCGTCGCTGTCGTGCCGCGGGCGTCGCATGAATTCGCGTGAGTGCCGTTTTAATCGCGCACAAAGCGCCGGTTATAACGTGAATTACGCCACGAAGAACGGGACCTTATCGATCTACGCGCATGACATGGCGGAAACGCGTTGTCGCGCGGACGTCTCGGGAGTCTCGCGGAATTTTTGGATAAACGTCTCTTGATAGTCGGACGTCTAACGATCGAAATCGTGGTAAGGATAGGATTCATCGGCATAAAACCAACTTACAGTTGTCGTCCTTTGAATATCATGTAGCTAAAATATTTAAGCTAGTTGTGCATCATGAAACAAGAATTTTATAGAATTCCGACTTGTATATAGAGTAAAATATTATCTAATTGCTTGTGCAATAAAAGAAATTGATCACTTTACAGCTGAGATAGTCACAAATCGACGCTAAGTTATTCTATTTCATGACAACGCCGGACCGCACGTTGCTGATTCGACTAAAGAGACGTTGTTCAAATCAAATTGGGAAGTCCTGCCGCACAGCCAGCGTACTCTCTAGACACCGCCTCATCTGATTTTCAGATGTATTCAGATTAATGCAGCACGATCTATCTGATACATGGTTAAATTAAATGAAATGATTTAATTAAATGTAATTCTTTTATATATTTAACTTTTTGTAAATTAATTGATAAAGATTAGACCATTTGAATTAACTTTTTCTTTTTGTTACAACTCGCATGGTATCCGTGCTTTAATTTTTTACCATATTTCTGTAACCAAAGAAAATCTAACATATACATATATCTAAAATATTATGCGATGGTTTCGCCACATTGCAAATATTATAATATTTCAACTTTCTTAAATATTATATTTTTAACTTTCTCTAGTAATTATGTAAATGATGTATACGAAAGATAGACCAAGGATTTTGAAGGAAGATACGTATCAAGGCAATTCTTATGTACATATTATTCGAATATTTTGTTTATATTTACTAAGATACACACATATATGCGCCGTATTTCCAAAAATCATATATTTAAACTGTTTCTTCCATAGTAAAGTTACATTAAAATACCATTTTTGGAGTTTTCTATGCATGTAGTGTATTCTCGTTTATTATTATTAGTATTATTATTTTATTATTATTATTATTATTATTATTTTATTAAAAATATTCATAATTCGATTGTACAAACAACACATATTTTATATTATATATGCTAAAATCTTATTCAAATGCTCTGAACCGTTCGGTATGTTCTTCATAAAATACTTGTGTTACGATAGAAAGTTACATAATCATTACGAAAATATACAGAATCAGTCTCCAAATCTCGCCATGGCCTCCAAGATTTAAAAGGATTTCGAGTATTATAGAGAGGATGTATATGCGAACCTAAAATTTGTTTTAAAATAGACACGTTCTGTTGTGCTTTTTCTTCCGATGTGGTAGTTAAAATTAACGGACAGTGTCTAATCCGTGATAAAAATATGCTCCGCGAACATGTCCACTCATTACTAAAATCTGCTTGAAATTCTACAATTATATTTGGTTCTTTAAAAGACGGACCGGCCACATACATATGGTAAAATGTACTATAAATTTCAACATGAAGTATTAAACATCTGTTCTTGCAGAAATTACAAAGTTCTTTGTCATAATGTTCCTGCTCAAAATTTGGTCCTACTAGTATAATTGTTAGATCCCTTATGTAACGCGTGAGATGTATAAATATTTCCCAAGCATTTATATATTCCTTTTCTAAAGAATTTAGTGCTACCACGTGAATAACGTATTTAAATGCATGTGTTACACGTGCGCATGAAATAAGTGGTTCTAGTAAACCAGCATTCTTTATTCCATAATATACTGTTAGCGGTCCTGATACATAATCACAGGAGAAATATTTATAATATATTGCAGCTGTACTGCTGTATTTTGAGGAAAGTTGCCCATATATTCTAATAAATGTATTCATGTCATTAAAAGATTCATTTCGACGAGTAATATTAGTGAATTTTAATTTAGTGAATTTGTATACACTAGTCACGATATTAGTGTTGATATATAACACAAACTGTTGGCATTTTTGCTGATGCAAACCTTGAAATATCTGTATATGGTCAATGCAATAATATTCCGAATAACACGTTCTACAGTGTACCAAATTAATCTGTCTATGACAAATAGAGCATGATTTTGCAAAAAGAATCATCTGTTCTTCATACGGCTTTAGCTTACGTGGAATCCATTTTTTAATTGAGCTTAGAAATTGTTGTCTTAACGTGATCCAATTAGTTAAACTTAAAGCACAGTCTCGACGTATTTCATTCTCTCGTAAAAATCGGTTTATATATTCACAAATCTGCATATGGTATGGACGATGCATCAATTTGTGTTCACGAGTGCAATAAGAGATCATATCGCACCGATTACATGATATAAAAGATCCATTGTTTATTTTCTTGCAGATGTGGCAAATGTTTTCGTGAAAGAAGCTATTATAATTATTAATATTAATACGTGGACCGAATTCGTTCACATCGATTACTTTAGAAAAATTACTCATGGTGGGATATTTCGTTCGACGTATGATATCAATTTAGAAATTAAGTGTGTTGCTTCTTGTAATAGAAATAATGTAGTTATCTGTCCACAGCAGATTTATAACTGAGCTGTTCACATTTCAGATCTATAGCAGACTACTGTAGAAGCGACATTAAAAAGTCCTCTGGTTCGCTAGTTAATATTGACAAACTGATTTCGGTATTTGAAAAGGTAACGAAATATGAATAAACGTTATTAAATAGAATGTTGCAAATAAACGCGCATGGGATTCTTATAAATTTTTCTTATAAATGTTATTACATGTAACTTGTGTATAAAAAAAAATATTGAAGAAAGAAGAAGTTGAAAGTTTTGAACAATCATTAATATTTTGAAAAAGTAAAAATATGAATTATTGTTGCTGTATATATATCTTACTAAGAAATATATACAAATGGTATACATGCGTCCTCTAAACAATATATATATATATATATAATATCGTAAAAATTGAAGAATGTATGTTAAGGTAATTAATAAATTACAATTCTTAACTGGCTTCTAAACTTTCTTAATATAGATATCGATATAGTTATATTTTATATAGTCCAAGTGCATGACACCCCACAATAAAGCACAAAACTTTATAATGTTATTCTGGAAATTAAAGCGAATAAAAAATCCTAATAACAAATATAGTATCGTAATTTCATAAAATATATTTCTTTTTTTGCTATTTCTAATAATCTATATATTTTTATAGGTATATGCTTTTAGTTATAATCCCGATGAATCATATTCCACTAGATATTAACTATTAAATATGATTTTTTTACATATTATTCTATAAAATTATACCAAAATATCCTACGACAAATGTAATATTAGACAAAGAGAGTTATTAAAATAAATTTATTTCACAATATTTTATATTCTAAATGGGAAATGCTTTGGAAAGACGTTATACTATTAAGTGTATTCTTTCCCAAGCGGAATCTTTCTCGAATTTTATCTAGTGATTAAAATATATATGGAATAACTTCAAGAGTGAAAATCGCATTAAACATTGCGTATTTCATCACGATCCGTGTGTTCTCCCGTAACGTAACTATTGTTCAGTAAGCGTGTGTGTTATTTAATAAAAATATTCAGCATTCATTTATTAACGTTGACAACGAATGAAAATATTAATAATAGATTGCATTACTATTTTAAAATAAAACGAAGATTTCGTCATATATTTTAAAATAAAAAATATATTTTTATGCGAGTAATGTAATTAATTTCCTCACGTAAATATGTCATAGTAGAATGCATGTATATGTGTATTTTTGGCAATATTTCTGCATCCAAAGAAAATTTAACATATGTTATTAAAATATTAGGCAATGGTTTCGCGACATTGCAAATATTATAATATTTCAACTTTCTTCGATATTTTTAACTTTCTCTAGTAATTATGTAAATTATGTACACGAAAGGGTAGACTAAGGATTTTGAACGAAGGCACGTATCAAAGCAATTCTTATGTACCTATTATTCGAATATTTTGTTTATATTTACTGAGGTTTACGTATTACTGAGGTTTATGTAGGATTCCAAAAACCGTATATTTAAACTGGTT